CCCCCCCCTTTTACCTCAAATGCAACTCCGATGAAGGAACCTCAAGAATCCACAGCCTAGCTTCCTCCTGTTTGATCTTGCTTAACCGTGCTCTCACTCTTGCTAGCTTCTTTCACCGTGCTTCCTTTCTCCATCGAGTTCGTGTTCTTCTTTTCTCTATTTCCAATTTTCCTCTTATGCCCTCAATACCCCAAAACCCCTTTTAATTCTAAATAATTCCAAATTAATATTAAATCCTTAAATTCTTTTATTCAAAAATTAATAATTCCAATAATATTTTGAAATATAATAACAATAATAATAATAATAATAATAATAATAATAATAATAATAGCAACAACACTACTAATTATCATATTATTATTATTATTATTAATCATATTATTCTAATATTATGGACCATAGCTCCTCAAATAAATTCCACACCAAGCACGCCGAAAAATGAAATAACACTGGAAACTCAAATAATTAAAATGGGCGTTACATTATGAGTGTTCATTTGAAAAACATTTCAAGTGTAACCATTGTGTGTTTCATTTAATTTGCTTATAGTTATCTCATTCATAATATCTTCACATTTGATCTATATCATTTATTATATCATGCTTACATTTGTGTGTTTGCATGTTATTGGCTAACAAATCATGAAAAACTATCATATGCATGTATCTATCATCAATTAGTTATGCATAAGTCTATTTAAGTCTTCAAAGGTCACTACAAACTTATATGAGTAAAAATTTTCAAGTTTATGGTTTCACATGTCGAATCATAAGACGTATAGGTCGACACATGTAAATAACCTTTTGCATTTCTTAAAATTGGTTCAGTATGTGTTGACACAAGTTTACGGTTTCATATGTCGACTCATAAGACGTATCGGTCGACATATAGGATTAATTGTTTGAAATCTATTAAATTCGCTTCAGTATGTGTCAACCTGTAACCTTTTTAGGTTGTCACATGCGTTCATAGGTCAACTCATAAGGGTCATTTGATTCAAATTCACTTCATATATTCACCTCTCTAATACATGCACCAAAGTTCAGACTTCATTCACCTCCTCTGAAATCTTGCAAACTGTCAAAATCACCATTAACTCTTGCTAAATTCATTATATTTATATCATATACATTCACATTTTCAATATATTTTTCTCATTTCATCGAACTGTTGATGTGCAAACTTTGTTAGCTTAATTCTTCATGGCACCTAAGCTTTCTAAGTCTAAGGGTGATGGTAAAGGAAAGGGTAAGACAACTACATCTTTTACACATGGAGAATCTCCATTCCCGTTGGTTTCAAGAAGGTGTATTAAGGTATTTAAGGAGAAACATCAACACCAACTTGTTGTGAAACAATTCATTTGGAAGCCTATTATGGCTGGTTGTTTGGATATTCTAGAAGTTACTAGTCTTGTTACACATCAACAGATTGATTACTTTCTGCAGCTGGCTTAGGATTATAATGAAGACTTCATTCATGTATTCTAATATGAGTTACATGATAATAGAAGTTCATGCTTCAAATTTACCATAGGTAACACGGTTTATGTGTCCACTAATGATCTTTGGAAGTGTTTGTTTGGAATTATTGTTATTGATGTTGATGACGATGATGAAGTTGACCCGTTGGTGACATATACCAATACGCATATGCACTTTAAGTGAAATGTTAATATGAATGAGATACTTAGAGTTCCTCGTCCCGGAGACTGTTAAGACCCTATTACTATTGGTTAAATGAAGACGGTTCCTAGAATTCTACTATGGCTGATGTCTCATGTGTTGCGCCCAAAGAATGACAGGTTCTCGAGAGTTGACTTTACTGAACTTAATCTGGCCTATATTATGATGAACAAAGTCAATATTAATTGGGCACATTACTTTTTATCTCGCATATTCTCCACAAAGGAATGTAAGAAAGGGACCTCATTTTGCTATGTTTGCATGATTGCCAAGATTCTTAACTACTTCGATATTGGTGTGCCAAATCTTGTTTACAAATCCCCATCTCCAATTCAAGAGTTCTCTCAACGGACGATAACCAACATGGGCTGCTTTTAGGATATAAACTGTCAAGCGTACTACTTCTGTATGGGTAAGCACAGTAGGAAGATTTATAATTTTGATGATCCTGCAGAGTTTGAGGATGATTATGTTGAGGTACATATGGTTGATGATCAACCAGTTGGTGTTTCTCATGATGTTCTTGACAGTGATTCTTTTATGCAAGATACCACTCATGCAGATGCTCCTGGTGATACTTTTGGTGCTGGTTTTGGTGATTCGTCTGCTATAATGGCTATGCTTCAGAATATGCAGCTGAGACAAGATGAGCGTTATGCTGAAGATTGTAGGAGGCGAGATGTCTTTGAGACTACTCAGGTGGAGATATTCTGTCTGATGCAAAAACACATGGCTACACAAGATGCTAAATTTAAAGCCTTTGCTTCCTATGCGACATAAATTCTTGTGTCTATGCGTAATGATATAAATGCAAATCATGTTACTGCTCTTGCTAGGATTAATCACATGATCTATGTCCAAGAAGAGGATTGTGATTATTATGATTGATTTTACCGAGAAATGTGTGATTTCTTGAACTCTCACTATCATAATGATGGACAAGGATGGTATAAGGGAGAAAGACCAATGCCTAGGGGCCATGGACGACGATGAAGTGTTGTGTTTTTATGTCGTTGAGTCTCATGTCTTGTCGTGCATTTCTTTAAGTCTTGTTTGTGTCTTCATGAATTGTTCTTTTGTTGGTTTGTTTTGCCTCTGGTTATGTAGTAACAATGTTACTAATTTGTTTGCTTATGAAACAATGGTTGTACTATGTGTATTACTTGGAATTAAGACTTGTGTAATATTGTTGTGTTGTTATTTATCTTTTGTTCATGACTATTGTGTATTTTCATGTATCTTGCGTATATGTGAGTGCACGATATTTACTTTGCAATTACCTCTATTTTTGGTATATTGTATATGAGTTATGTTGTTTCTATGTGATACTGCTAAGGTTTGCAAAAACTCTCTGATTTTGACTTGGCAGGAAAATGAACATGAACAACCTTCCTTTGTTTTTTAGAAGATTGGTGGCACCACTACAGTGTGGAAGGTCCAAAAAATGCAGTTTGGTCATGATAATCACAATCATCTTACTCATAATCAAATATGGGAAACTAGAAACAATTTCAGACATAGGAATCACCCTTCTAGCATTAATATGTTCATCACTACAATCATGGCTCAAATGAAGACTGCAACCAACAACTATTTCTCAACAATGTCATTACCATGTCAAAGTTTTCTCTAGTTAAAGCTTTTGAAGTAAACCTTCATCCTTCATGTGCTCCCAAGTAAAAAACTTATATGGAAATATGCTACTCTTGTATGGATAAAGTGCAACTGCGATGGAACATTCACTCTCCTTTCATGTACACTGGGGTGTGGTGGAATTTTCATGAATTACAATGGAGATTTTTTATTAACTTTTGCAGAACAAGTTTTTAGAGGCTCATCCATCTATATTGAATTAGCTAAAAGCAAACGTTGACATAAATTTTAGATTGAAACGAACTCAATTTTGATTGTTAAAGCTTTCTCCAACCGATGCATTGTCAATTAAATAACAAGTGGAAAGCTTGAAGAAACTTTTTAACACTACTAATCTTTTCATCACTCTCTTTTATATATATATATATATATATATATATATATATATATATATATATATATATATATATATATATATATATATATATATATATATATATATATATATATATATATATATATATATATATATATATATATATATATATATATATATATATATGAAAATAATTGTGCGAATAATTTTAGTAATGTTGGTCTGACAACTAATCTTTTAACATTTTTTATTTTATCTCTATTAAGATTTAAGAATGATATTGTAAAAAATAGGTTTTATATATATTAATTCATAGGGTAGGAAGTCTAGAATCTCCCATTCATTTGTTATCGGCCAATTTACCAACCATCTATTAATTTTTATCAAATATAGTCACAAGGCCAATTTACCAACCATCTATTAATTTTTATCAAATATAGTCACAATGTATATATTTCTTGATGTCGAAATTTAATTCATAGGGTAAGAATTCTAATCCCCAATATATGCTAAACTCGTGCTAATTAATTACGACAATTCACATTCATTTATATCTATTTAAGAGAACTACAACTCAAATTTAGCTGTAAATTACTATAAAACATTTTAGATTTGTTTATAAATAATCATCAATCTTATCAATAAATCACCAAAAACAAATGGTAAAAAATAAATCCAAATCCACGTAAATCTCAAACATATCCAACACCAATTTGACAGTCCATGAATCGGTGATTCCTTGCTCCATGTTCATGCACCAGTCAGTATCAAATAGTACAAAAAGGGAGAATTTCTATTAAGGCAAAGTAATAAATTAATTCAATAATAAAGACAGAAAGAAATAAAAATAAAAGTGGTTTTGGTTTTTGTCCCCGGTTTTGGTTTTGTTAAGGTGGTTTTGCTGAGGTGGTTGGTTTGGTTGGACTAGGAAAGAGAGTGTTTGTGTGCGTGTGTGTTTGTGTACATTTGTTAAAAAAAACCGGTTTTAAGGTTTGATTCATTGTATTCTGAAAATGTTGCAGTACCATTGCACCTATTCTCTCTGGATCACATCTAATATATTTTTTTCTTTTTTCTTTTCTGATTTCAATTTTCGAAATATATAAAACCACGACAGTATTTGTAATTTACATGACATAAACACACATTCCCCCATTACAGAAATTCATTTAAGGTTTCTTACTTTTTTTGCATTTTTTCTCCTTAGGGGGTTTTGTATATCAAATGCTCTTGACCCTTTTCTCCCTTATATACCTCTCTGTGTTGTCACTGTTTTCCATTCTTCTTCGGATTTTGTTTTCTGATTTTCTGTTTCTGGTTGGATTCTCTCTCTTGTTGTGCTCATGCCTGCCCTTGTCAATCATGGTGGTAAGTTTGCTTAATTTCTTTCTTTTGCTTTTAATGTTTCTTGTGATTTTTTGTTTCTATTGTTGATTGATTCTAGGATTCTAAGGTTTTCAAGTTTGTTTTTGAGTAGATTATAGGATTATAGCTTGACAATTCATAAGAATTTATAGATTGTTGTTGCAATTAGTATCCTTGGTAAGAATAAGAAGAACAATAGATTGGATCTAGTACTAATAGTGACGTGTTTATGAACATGCATGTGAAAGACTGCAAGTTATAGATACTGTGTTTGTTTGTATGATGTGTAAGATAGATGGTGAGTTTTGTTTTTAGAGTATTTGATTGTGATGAAGAAGAGTTGTAATTAGGAGAATCATGTGTGTGTTTGTGGCTGATTCGGATTGTGGTTGAATTTTTCAGGTGATGATGAACTGTATCCCGGGGGTTCGATGGATTTGGGGGGTAGGTTGTTTACGGTTAGTTCCAATGTTGATGTGTACTCCTCTCCTACGAAGCGAGCTCGAATCAGTGTCCCGTTTAGCTTTGGAGATCTTGAGCCTGAGCGTCAGGTGGATCATAAGTCTAGTGTTGAGATTCTTCCTGACGAATGTCTCTTTGAGATATTCAGAAGGCTTTCGAGTGGCAAAGAGAGAAGCTCGTGTGCTTGTGTATCGAAAAGGTGGCTTATGCTTGTGAGCGGTATATGCAAAGATGAAACTGAAACTGTTGTGAAAACGATTTCTTCGGATGAGAGTCATGAAGATGTTGAAGGTGATGGTGATGGCTACCTTACGAGGCGTTTGGAAGGGAGGAAAGCAACTGATGTGAGACTTGCTGCTATTGCTGTTGGGACTAGTTGGCGCGGTGGACTTGGGAAGCTGTCGATTAGAGGAAACAACTCAGTTCGAGGTATTACAAACCGCGGTCTCTCGGCCGTTGCTAATGGTTGCCCTTCTCTCAGATCACTTTCACTGTGGAATGTGTCTTCTGTTGGTGATAAGGGTCTTTGTGAGATTGGAAAAAGATGTCATATGTTGGAGAAGCTCGACTTGTGCCATTCTCAGTGGATCACGAACAAGGGTTTGATTGCGATAGCTGAAGGTTGCCCTAACTTGACCACGTTAAACATTGAATCGTGTTCAAAGATCGGAAATGAGGGTTTGCAAGCTGTTGCGAAGTTGTGTCCTAATTTACACTCAATCTCTATCAAGGATTGTCCTCTTGTTGGTGATCATGGAGTGTCTAGTTTGTTATCATCGGCTTCTGAGTTGTCAAGGGTAAAGCTTCAGATCTTGAATATTACCGATTTTTCTCTGGCTGTTGTTGGCCATTATGGAAAGTCGATAACGAATCTGGTTCTTAGCGGACTTCGAAATGTGAATGAAAGAGGGTTTTGGGTCATGGGTGTTGCTCATGGTCTACAGAAACTGGTTTCACTTACTATAACTTCATGCCATGGGGTAACTGATCCGAGCATCGAAGCCATCAGTAAGGGTTGCCCAAATCTGAAGCACATGTGCCTTCGCAGGTGTTGCTTTGTAACCGACAGTGGATTGGTTGCATTTTCCAAATCTGCTGGATCTCTGGAGAATTTGCATTTGGAAGAGTGTAACAGGTTCACTCAATCTGGGATTCTCGGCGCCCTTTCGAGCATCAAAGCAAAGCTGAAATCACTCACACTTGTGAAGTGTATGGGAATTAAAGACATTGAGGTGGAAGTATCTATGCTTTCACCTTGTGAGTCTCTTCGATCTATAACAATTAAAAACTGTCACGGTATCGGAAGTGCTAGTCTGGCTATGATTGGGAAGCTGTGTCCCCAACTTCAGCATGTTGATCTGACCGGACTATACGGCATAACAGACGCAGGCCTTCTCCCACTTTTGGAGAATTCTGAGGCTGGACTCGTCAAGGTGAACCTTACAGGTTGCTGGAACTTGACCGATAACATAGTTTCCGCCATGACCAGACTACACGGCGGAACTCTGGAAGTACTAAATCTCGACGGATGCTGGAACATTACTGATGCAAGCTTGGTTGCAATTGCAGACAACTGCCTACTGCTCAATGATCTAGATATGTCGAGGTGTGCAATCACTGATGCCGGTGTATCTGTTCTCTCTGATGCCGATCACCTTAGTTTGCAGGTTCTCTCTATATCTGGCTGTTCTGAAATATCCAACAACTGTATGCCTTTCCTGAAGAAATTGGGCATGAACTTGATGGGATTGAACCTTCAAAACTGCATGGGAATCGGCAGCAACACGATTGAGTTACTCATGGAGAGCCTGTGGAGATGTGATATTCTGGCCTAATCGCGCCAGAACTGCTATAAATAAAGAAAGGATATATATTACTTTTATCGAAGTATCGTAATGAAGCAACAGGTGGTAATATTCAGCGTACTATTTTTGGCTGATATGACTATCAATGATGGATTTGCAAGCGCGGTTTGTGGACTCGGTTGTTTTCGAGGGAGCCTTGGTTTATTTCTTTCACTAGCCCTTTTTCGCAAGCATTTCCGTAGAGAAATGATTGTTTGTTACAGTCCCTTTTGGCTATAGTTCCCTGAGAATACAAGTTACTGAGTCTTGGTTGATGATGGTGTCCACTCTAGATAGCGCATTGCTTAGGTTTTACATTGTATTGCTGAAATCTACTATTTCTGTTTGTTCTAGGTTTATTTTCATGTTCTTTGTCGTTTTAGTTTTTATTAACAATCATGCGTGTTACAACGCCTGTTCTAGTTTTTATTAACAATCATGCGTGTTACAACGCCTGAATTGGTGCGCAGCAGAAAACTTTTGTTATTCTACGATGATGTTATTAATAGCATGTTTGGTACAATGTTTATATTCCAATAATTTTTTATAAAGCTATATTCCAATCGTTGAGGGTGTTCTGATTGATTTCTAACAATGAAATCATACGAGATGAACTGGATGACGAAAGATCGATTATTCGTTGTGAAACACAAATGTCTGTTGGGTGCTGGGAGCAAGGCGCTAGACAATGCGTGCCTGCAGTGTTGGGCGCCTGCACCTTCCTTTGTAGTTCAAAAATGCGTGAGGCGATGACAATACATAAAATGGAATCAACTCAATTTTTGGATTTAAAACAAACTTGAAGTTGACTGACTTTTACTAAACTAAATGAATGACCAACTATGATGCAAAAGCGTCTACGAAAATTACAACAATACTCACAATATTGTGAAACTTTGTTTCAATCATATATTTTAGTGTGTTTTGTTAGGTAAAAGATTAGAAACTACTAGGTATACAAATGACAATTCAATCAAATCCAATGGTGGGAAGTGTGTCCTGGAAGTCGGAATCATGTGTCATGACAGTTCAATCAGATCCAATGGTGGAAAGTATGTCTTGGAAGTCGGAATCACGTGCTCCCACCTGAGTGAAATCTCGTCAATCAGATCCAATGGTGGAAATGTGCCGTAGAAGCCGGAATCACATGCCCTCACCTAAGTGAAATCTCATTTATTCTATAAGTCTCACCTGAGTGAAATCTCGTCAATCAGATCCAATGGTGGAAATGTGCCGTAGAAGTCGGAATCACGTGCCCTCACCTAAGTGAAATCTCATTTATTCTATAAGTCAGAATCACGTGTCCTCACCTGAGTGAAATCTCATCTATTCTATCAATCTTTTCGCGCAATACTTGCTATCGGACATTTTGCCGTAGCCCTTGTGGGCTGCCTATAACAATATTTATCATCATCTTTTTTGTTCAAGCTTTCTTGCACAAACTCAAACCACGTCATCATCATCTTTTTTCTTTTTTTTTTTTCAAATTTTCTTGTAGTAACTCTTAAACACAAAATCTAACATTTTAGGTCACACAAGTTGTTTTAATGTTTTTTCCTTCTCTTATAATAGAATCCTATGATTTGGATGTAGATGCAATGAAGAACATACCATTTAGTGTTACATTAAACTTCTCAATCATCTAATGACACTAATATGATGTAAATGAATGAACTCACCTTCATTCATGAACAATAAATACTATACAAACATAACCATTGACTTCCCTACCCCATGTCACAGCCACTTTTTAAATCATCATCATCATTTTCATTGGAACTTGAGGTACTTGTTGCCTTGCCCATGCTATTAAATCAAAAGTAAAATTTATTTACAAAAATAAAAGGACAAAGGTACAAAAGTAATAATGTAAATGCTTAATCAAGTAGAGCAAAATACCATAAGAAAATCATTGTACAACACTTCAACTTTTTTTGCTGAAATATCTATTATGGCAAGATATGCAAGTGATTCTTCTGTGAGAAAATCTGTCTGTTGAAAAAAAGTATAAGAGTTGTTATCTGATGATGTTAGTACTGTTGGTCAAATATTTTACTGTAGTGACCATTTTGTCCTGCTTGAGCAAAGAGAAATGTGGGACCTTATGCTCTCATATTGGACTTTTTAGATCACAAAATAATAGTACAAGTTTAATACTAAAAGATTGTGTTATCATAATTAGGAGTATGTTTAGTAAGAAGTTGTTTCATATAGTGCTTGAATATTGTTCAAAACTTTAATAAATGATTGATGTTGTTCCTTTTAAGTAAAAGTTTATGCTATTATTTCTCTCAAAATTGAAATGGTGACAAAGTCGGCATCATTGGGTACCAAATAAAAGGAGAAAACTAGTATTTGTACTTCAAAACAGAATTTATATATTTTTTCGTGTTTCTTTTATCGACCATAGAAAATTAAATAATATATTTTAAATATGGATAATTCATATGTATACAATGTTGGATTAAAATGCTAATTCTTAATCATATTCAATGTACACATTACTACTTATACAAGGAAGCAAGCATTGAGGTATATCATTACTTATAAAACAAGTAATGTTTGTAATTAATCCAACTAATAAATTCAACTTTTAACATGTTGGAGAGATTTTTATTAGGGGGCATTGAATATTGTGAGACTTTCTTTTTTAGAGTAACACTTTTGTGAGAGGCACACCACATATTCATCCAAAATCTTAAAATAATAGGTGTATGGATTCTCTCACTTATAAATGCTTAAGTCACCACGTTCGGGACTATTATCCACACTACTCACACTTGTTAATACTTAACATTCCCCCTCAAGTGTGAGTCTATCCACAATGTTTTCACAATTCTCCCCCTTAAGCGGAAGTTTCAACTGTGCAACTGCACTTTCTATTGTGTGTTTCTTACTCACCACCCTTGTACCGTCGTTGACACTCTTCAACGGGACATCTCCTAACCACCACCTGTGAGGATTACTTTTTATACAAGTGAGTCGGTCCTTCACTCGAACCAAAGGCTCATGATACCACTGTTAGAGGAGATTTTCACTAGGGAGCATTGAACATTGTGAAACTTTCCTTTTTTTAGAGCAACACCTTTGCTAGAGAACACCACATACTCACCCAAAACCTTAAAGTGATAGGTGTGTGAGTTCTATCACTTATAAATGTTCAAGTCACCACATTCATATCCAATGTGTGACTATTATCCACACTACTCACACTTGTTATACTTAACACCCCCATTAAGTGTGAGTCTATCCACAATGTTTCCCCTTAAGCGGAAGCTTCAACTCTACAACTGCACTTTCTGTTGTGTGTTTCTTACTCATCACCCTTGTACCGCCGTTGACACTCTTCAACGGAACACCTCCTAACCACCACCTGTGGGGAGTACTTTTGATACAAGTGAGTCGGTCATTCACTCAAACTAGGCTTTGATATCATATGTTGGGGTAGATTTTCACTAGGAAGCGTTGAACATTGTGGGACTTCATTCTCTAGAGCAACACCTTTGTGAGAGAGACACATCACATATCCCATTCTACTCAACTACTCTTTCCTTCTTAAGTAGTATAGAAAGCCTACAATTATGCCTATTCATCAATGAATACTTTTTCCATATTCAACGTTCTTAGATATGAGTCTTGCAACTCTTTAGCCACATTCAAAGCATAAAAACCAAGGTCATCATAACTATATCCTTGAGATAATATACATTTCCATCTTATCGTATCACAAGTCAAATGATAATCAAGAGCTATTGTAAATTTTTTCTCACTAGACCTAGAATCATGAGTCTTAACTTCATCCCCATTCTTAGTCTTTCTAGTAAGAACTTCTACCTCAAACAAGGTTTACTCCACCATATTTTATGATTCATTCATATTTATATCTTTACTCTTATTATCTTTACAGTTCTCTCCAAAAGTAATATCCTGGCTTATGATGAAGTTTGATTTTCCCTATTCCACTTTCCACAATTTGTAACTCTTCCCGCCGTCTAGATAATCAATGACGACACACTTCACATCCTTACCATCAAGCTATACTATTTTGATTTATGCAAATGACAAAGCTTTGATTACCTTCAAATTAGAGTAGTCTACCAGTTTTCAACTTTAAACCTTCATATATGTCTTAAATTATATTCAGATGAATGGAAATTTGTTGATCAGGTAACTACTTTGACACTATCGTTATCCAAAATTCTTTGACAACCTAACTCCTAGCAACATTCCATAAATTTTCCAATGCGCTTTTAGCCACTGTTTCATACAAAACTAATTAAAGTGATTTAAAACAACCTATAGGGCATTGAAAGTTCTTTTTTCACTAATGTGCCTCGATCTCAAATTCAAAAATTTATTTTTGTCATGAAAGTCTCTAAAATGGGTATATCCTTAAAGTGCTATAAGAATGTGGATAATGAGTTTAACAATAGTAGAGTCTTTTCCTCGTCATCAATCTTCACCTTAACAGTCTTCAAATCATCAATGATCTTTTGAAAATCTATTAATTACTCCACTAGAGATTTGTTCTCAATCATTACGAATGAGTAAAGTTGTTTTTTCAAACAAAAATTGTGAGGCAAAAACTTGGTCATATACAATAATTTAAACTTTGTCCATATCAAAGTCGCAATATTCTCCTTGGAGAATTCCCTTAGAACATTTACATGAGGCACAAGATAATGACACTTTTGTCCTTATCCACCATTTATGTCTTTTTTTTCTTCTTATGTTAGGTGTGCATGCCTCAATGTTGCATACTTCAATGCTTCTACACACTATAGTTAAGTTAATATTGTTTGCATATTCACTTTTCACTACTCAAAATCGTTGTCTTGAAAAAAATTCTTGTTATCCTATTTATAACCCTTTGTACACACTTGTAAACTTAATCTAATTGTTTCAGGGTGAATGCCACTTGTTGTGAAGTTGAAAGGTTCAACCACAGAAAAACCTTTTCGATGTGTGAGACAAAGAACATGAGAAAAAAA